CCGCTCTGTCAGGAAGTACTTCCTGATGTTTAGCCGAAAACTCTTCTGATTTAATTTCAACCCATTGGTTCTGGTCCGACCTTCTGAAGCAACAGAAAACAACTCACCATCCTCTCTATATGACAGCCCTTCAGGTACTTCTTGTTATATCACCTCATAGTTGTCTTCTCTCCATGTTAAGCATACCAAGCTTCTTCAACCTTTCCTCATAGGACTTGGTCTCCAGACCCCCTCAGCATCTTTATTGCCCTCCTCTGGACACATTCCAGCTTGTCTATATCCTTCTTAAATTGTGGTGCTGGTGCCCAAAACTGAACCCAATACTCTAGGTGAGGTCTAACCAAACCAGAGTAATCGTGATCTGGACACTATACTTCTGTTGATACAGCCCAAATTGGCATTTGCCTTTTTAGCTACCACACCACACTGCTGACTCATGTTCAGTCAGCGTGTGGTCTGCCAAGACCCCTAAATCCTTTTCGCACAAACTACTGCCAAGACAAGTCTCCCCCATCCTACAATTATGCATTTGATTTTTCCTGACTTCATTGCTGGAGTAAGCCCTTTTGAATATGTACCTGTAAGAGGGTTGGGGAAAGGGGATGTGTCCCTGTGTAGGGAGAAAAAAAGATTGCATGAAGGTGAATTAGGACTGCGCAGTTCTGACAACTCAGGATTTGTGTGGTCTGTTTCCTAGTGGACTGCATCCTATCGGCTGCCTTTAATGGTTTTCCAGACCTTCCCTTGAGGCCAGAGCTTTACATCATGAAAGGAGTTTGTTATTTATTGCAGACATCTCAGGATGCAGAGACTTGTATTTAGCTTATTTTTTTTTTATTCATTCAGTTATTTAGATGTTTATAGCCCACTTTTCTCCCCCCAAATGTTGAACTGAAGCAGCTTACAACATTGCTCCCTCATCTTCCGTTTTATCCTCACAAACAGCAGTCTATGAGGTATGTGAGGGCATGTGACGGGCCCAGGACCCCACAGTGAGTTTCCATGACAGAATGGGGGCCTCGGACCCACCGTGACATTAACCCCTGGACTGGCACACCAGACATGCCCTGAATACCAAGATCGTGATACCCAGGTTTGAATTCCCACCCCGCCATGGATGTTTGCCGGGTGACCTTGAGCCAGTCACATACTGTCAGCCTAACCTACTTTACAGGGTTGTTGTGAGGATAAAACGGGGGAGATGGGAATGACGCAAGCCACTTTGGGTCCCTGTTGGAGAGAAAGGCAGGGTATAAATGAAGTAAAAAAATAATTAAGAACCTTGACACTGTGTAGACAAAATCACTTTCCTGGGTTATGTGTTAATCCGGAATAGTTCATCCTTTTGAGTCCTAGCTTCTTAACATGAACCAGGTTCCTCCCCCCCTTCATTTCAAAGGCATGCATTGGGGGGGGGGATGGAAAATGCCACTTTCTTGCTATCTTTATTTTGAGTGCAGCAGAGTGACCTTGCTTAAAATGTGTTCTCATTGTGCGTTAGGAGCAATATTACCGGTAGCTACCAGCTAATAGGCAAGAAGGAGCTGCGGTGGCTCAAGTGGTTAAGACGCTGAACTGCAGGCTGTAGAAGGTCCGCAGTTCGAGACCCGGGTATCGCATGATGGAGTGAGCTCCCATCTCTAGTTCCAGCTCCTGCCAACCTAGCAGTTTGAAAGCAAGAAATTGCAAGTAGATAAATAGGTACCACTTCGGTGGGAAGGTAACAGCGTTCCGTGCGCCTTGGTGTTTAGTCATGCTGGCCACATGACCACGGAAACGTCTTCGGACAGCGCTGGCTCTTTGGCTTTGAAACGGAGATGAGCACCGCAACCCTAGAGTTGGATTCGACTGGCTTTCGAGCAAGGGAACCTTTACCTTTTTAATAGGCAAGAAACTACCCTAAAAGAACCTTATTAAACATGCTTTAAATTTAGTATATCCTGCAGTTGGGAGCTTGCTGGATAACTCTTGAGGTTTCTTCCAGATTACGTGACTCTTTTATTTACAAAGCCATTACAAGTGCTGCAGTTCTGAAATTATCTTCCTAAAGTGTGTTTGTTGCCTAGAAAATATATCTTCATCATAAATGCATCAAAATATATTTTATTAGTATAAAGTAAAGGTACAAGAGAACACTTGGGGTTGCTATGTGTGTTACTGTCCCTGAGAACATATGCAATGTAAAGCCTGATTTAAGTTTGGCATTCGGTGTGCAATCAAAACATACCCATACAGCATTTGAAAGGCCTGCACCTTGTTGAAATCAGGCCCTCTGCCACTGTATATGTAGTGTTATGCATGCCAGCATGATACCTGTTCAAGCCACAGTACTTTGCATACTGAGGTTGCACACACAGTCCATATGACCCAAATTAACCAAGACACAGGATACATGGAACGCCACACAGAGTTTGCTTTTAAGTGCATATCATGCTTCAATTAGACCTCAATTAAGCACATGCAGCTCTGGGTGATAATGACACCAGGTAAGATATGAAGAACGGGAAAAAAAAATATTGAAAATGTTGCTAACAAATCCAGACTGTGGCTAGCTTTTAAAAGTTCTGATTCTTATGAACCTGGGGAAAGGATAGTTTAGGATGTGCTTTCTTTATGGGGGAGAATGAGCAAAGCTTGTATATGTGTGTTAAGTGCCATCAAGTGGATTCCAACTTATGGTGATCCTATGAATTAATGACCTCTAAAATGGACTATTGTTAACAGCCTTGCTCAGGTCTTGCAAAGTGATGGCCTTTGTGGCTTCTATGATTGAGTCAGTCCGTCTCATGTTGGGTCTTCCTCTTTTCCTGCTGCCTTCAACTTTTCCTAGCATTATCATCTTTTTCCAGTGACTCTTGTCTTCTCCTAACGTGACCAAAGTAAGATAGTCTCAATTTAGACATTTTAGCTTGGGCTTGATTTTATCTGGAACCCACTTATTTGTCTTTTTGGTGGCCCACGGTACCCGTAAAACTCTCCTCCAACACCAGATTTCAAATGAATCAACTTTCTTCCTGTCAAGTTTTCGTTGTTGTCCAAGTTTCACACCCATACATAGTAATGGGAAATATTGTGATATTAATTATTTTAATCTTGGTCGCCAGCAACACATCCTTACACTTAAGAATCTATTGTTGCATCAGGTGAAGAAGAGAAAGCAAATGTGACATGTAGGAAATCCATGATTAGGATCTTTCACTTTTTCAAAAACTAATTAGCAGGCTCCTGTAGCAGATTAAAAATCTGAGAAGTGGCACTGGAAAAGGGTGGATTAATTCTTCCTGTACTGCTTCCTGGTGCAGATCATACAGACACCCAGGCTGCAATTAGCTCTGCAAGCTAATTCTAACAATCTAAAAATAGTGCTTTTCAGCATAAAAGCTAAGACAAAGTACTGTTTGTTTGTAATATCAGGCATGTAAGGAAAATATTTTCCCTAGAATAGCCACGATGGTTGCCTTGAATGAATAATTCAAGGGCTTTAGCATATCTTTACATACAGATGCAAATTATGCAATTCTGTAATACCTGCAGCATAATGCACACATTACCCAAGAGTAAAGTCAGTGCTAAAATACTGCCTCCACATCACAGCAGTAGTATGGGCTTGGGCAAATAATATGAGTTTTTCAGTTCAAATAATTATTTTCCCTGCCGGAGCGAGCCCCAGTGACCTAGGATCCACTAGATTGTCTCTTCCCATATATCCCCATACGGCAGTTGCAGTCCTTCAGTTTCTGCCTGCTAGTTGTTCTGAAGCTGAAGATACTGAAGCTGAAGCTCAAATACTTAGGCCACCAAATGAGAAGGGAGCACTCACTGGAGAAGACCCTGATGCTGGGAAAGATTGAAGGTCAAAGAAGAAGGGGGACGGCAAAGGATGAGATGGTTAGACAGTGTTATCGAGGCAACGAACATGATACTGAGCAAACTCCGGAGCACGACAGAAGACAGGAGGGCCTGGCGTGATGTGGTTCATGGTGTTGCGAAGAGTTGGACTCAACTGTGCGACTGAACAACAACAACAACAAAAGGTTGTTCTCCTGCTTTAGGGTAGCCCACCTAGTATCATTTACAGCACATGCCTTTTCTGTTGTAGTTCCTACTTGGTGGAATGGTCTCCTGAGAAGAAGGCATTGTCTGTGTAACTTTTAGGAGGCTCTGCAAGGCCATTCTGTTTGCCAAGGCTTTTAATGGGGTGTAGCTTTTAGCAGGGAGGGGTGGTTATTTGCGGTTTTATTTTATTCTGTATACTTTTAATTTGTAAGCTGCTTTGAGCCACAAGGAAAAGTGAGATATAAACATATACATGAGTAAAGATAGACGCCTTCTTCAGTTAGTGACACTGTGCTTACAAGAGGAGAAGGACAATTTTGCCCTTTCCTCTTCTTGTTGCAGTCACCCAGCCTGTGCGGCTGTTAGTCCATGTAGGTCCATGTAGGGAGTCCACTTTCCTGGGATCAAAAAGGCCTGCTGAAGACAGGGGAATGCGGAAAAGAGCTTTCCATTGACTGCTCCACTGGATTCAGCCACCTCTCCCATCCGGGGGGGCTCTGACCCCTTCGAATCGAAAAGAGTCTTGGGATGTTTTCAGTATTGGAAGAAAAATGCTTCCTCCAATCATAATTCATTATGTACCTGGGCTCTTTTTCCTCTCCCAGATAGTTTTAGCTATAAAAGGGTCAGACCTTAGAAGCTTATGGCAGCACTTCATCAAGATTGCAGTTTACGAGGGTTCTCCAGGGCATCCATGATAGCTTTGTAAGGATGGAAGGTGATCCGTTCCCACCCCTGCTTGAATACCGAAAATGAAGCTCCTCCGTTTGCTGGGAACAGGGGCTGAGACTCTGCACCTCAGGGGAAGAGTACGGAAATGTCTTTCCCTTCTTTCAAAGGGCTGGAGATCATGGAGTTCCTGCTGCCTAGAGTTGCCAGCTTCCACACTACCTTAGGGCATTAGCTAGGAAATAGGCTGACTGGCTACAGAGGAGAGTAGCTCAGCTCTAGGATCTCTAGTGGGGTGGGGTGGTGCCAAGGAGATATAGACCTAGTGCAGTCACTGTAATTATTTTCAGCATACAATTTAGCTGGTTTTCACTCTTTTCCAGTGCAAAGAGGCTCCACTCTTTACTGGTAGGCAATACTATCCAGTAGTGCTTTCTATTTGAGTACCAGCAGTTCAGATTTCGTGTGACGCTGTCTGTTTTCTGTTTCTATAAGCAGCCCTAAAAGTGTTACCGGGGCCCTTCCCACTCTTGTTTCACTAGCCTCCATCTAGAAGTTATTGACGATAAGGAATTATCTTGCCGTCTGTGGTGCAGAGTTCCTTCCAGTCTCATTTCCTCCAACCCAGCTCTCCACAAAATGGGGAAGGAAAAGGTAAAGTACTCCTCCAGTGCTGTACTGATCAGGTTTGGAGCCAGGTCAGCGTCCTGGTCACCTAACTCTTAATTGCTATAGTGCTGAGGTTTGGGGCTAGATTAATATGAAGCTATTCCGTGCGCCTTGGTGTTTAGTCATGCCGGCCACATGACCATGGAAACGTCTTCAGACAGCGCTGGCTCTTCGGCTTTGAAACGGAGAGGAGCACCGCAACCCTAGAGTCGGATTCGACTGGCTTTCGAGCAAGGGAAACCTTTACCTTTACCTATATATCTAGCCCTGGAGATGAGGAGTCTTACACCATGGATTTCCTGGTCTTTTCTGTATTTTCTGAACAATTCCTTGTAGGTCTCTGACATCTACAGGGAGACTGAAACTCAGATCTAGAGAAACTAATGTATTTGTTTAAAGTATAATTGTTGCAGTATAGACATCCTCACATGCTAGAACTCTCCTGTCATGCTCCAATTCAATCTGTGATTACAGTGTAGCTAAACTATATAAAATAAATCGCAAAAGGACACTATCAGTGCAGTCCTAAACAGAGTTACATTCTTGTAACCCCATTGACTTCAGTGGCCTTAGGAGGGTGTTACTCATTTTAGGATTGCACTGTGTGACTTGCAGTCAGTTCCATGTTGTGAACTTGTATCAATAAACTGATGATAGTTTTTCCATCCCGGATTGACTATTTAATCTTATCTAATTTTATCTATTGTGTTGCCCACTAGCTGTGAAGACAGTGCACAACACAACAGGAATCAATCAGCCTAGAAGCGGGGTCTTGTAAAAGGCAAGGGTGAGAGAGTGCCACTATCACAGCATATTGGCAAAAGACAATTATTCCCCCTCCCCCCAACAGTTTAGTCTGACTTTTGTATTAGCTTTCCTCAGAAGGCTTTTCCCACCACTGAATCACACCTGGTGAAATTCAGGCTTTTGGGAGTAGAATAATTTGTAGTCTGTGCATAGGATTCTGTCCATAAAATATCACTCTCTTTATAACATATCACTCCTTCAAGAAGACACTCAAAGCTATTTCTTTCTCTCAGTTTCAGGAAAAGATGTTCCCATTGATCACTGATTCCAGAACTTCCAAGGACTTGATTCATTAAATATACATTCTGATCTGGAAATTGCTGTTTGTATTTGAGGTGAGTATCTGTGTCCTTCGATAAGTAAAGTTGGAGGGAATAGAGATGTGAAGGCCCGGAAAAAACCCGGAAAAATTCGGGAAAAAACCGTTTTTTCCCCCTGAAGATTTTTTGTTTTTTCCCGAAAAATTGGAAAAATTGAAAAAAGAAAAGAAAAGAAAAAATGATTATGGAACGTTTTATTTTAACATGATGAATAAAATATTTTAAGACAAGGTGTTCAAATATTTTCCAAAACCAAACAAAGGTTAGTGGAAAGGAGGGCCAATATTAAAACCTTTTCATAAAAAGAGGTATATAAAACATATATAGGGGCCCAATTACAACCAATATATATAAAACATAACCATAACCAGGGCTAAAAAAGTTTTATATATATTGGTTGTAATTGGGCCCCTATATATGTTTTATATACCTCTTTTTATGAAAAGGTTTTAATATTGGCCCTCCTTTCCACTAACCTTTGTTTGGTTTTGGAGTTCTTTGTTAGGTTTAGTTTTTTTCCCTTTCTTGTTCCTGCCTCCAAATATTTTCCAAATCATTTCTAAAATATATATATATGGTATCAGATTGATCGAATTTCTGTGCACTGAGGACAAGCCAGTCCTAGGTTACAAACTGAACTCTCCAATGCAAGATGCATTTCTTCCTTTAGGAGGTGCTATTGTCAGAAGAAAATAAAAAGGTTTCAGTTTTGTTTTTGCATGTGGGTGGGTATTCTGTTTGTGATAATTGTTTGGATACACTATATTTTTAATATGCTAGTTGTGATAATTTCATGCCAAATAAAAATGTCCATAGTCATATTTTATGTTCCTAAAGTAACAGAATGACTTTCAATCTAGAAAAGACAAAAGAAATGCTAATGTAGCATTTTTTTCATTTTTTCCGAAAATTTCCGTTTTTTCCCGGGAAAAAACGGGTTTTTTTTCCGAGCTTCAAAATTTCCGGAAATTTTACATCTCTAGAAGGGAAGCTGAGCGCTCTTTCCAGCAAGGGGAAAAAAACCTGCAACCACCCCTGTTTGTAGGTAAACCTGTATATACCCTGTGGCCAGGTGGCAAAGTAGGGAGGTTCCTGTAAATTGGAAAGAGTTGGTACTTTCTGGTCACTGAAACTTTATCAGTAATTAGTGTAGTTTTATGTAGGTACACAGGTTAAGGAAAGTTCTTGTGGGCCAAAAATCTTGTGGACTGATTTGCAAGCTTGCAAGGTTAGGTGCATGTAAAGATGTGCATATCAGTCTTTACTAAACCTTGGTCATTGACTATATGGAAGTGTGTATGCATTTTTGTTGCCCTCTATTATTTCTTTATCATTTAGGATTTTTGTATTAATGATACAAAATCCAGTAAGAATTCAGATTAAAGTTCAATAGATACTGAAGGTGGTTACAGAAAATGGAGACAAAGAAAAAGATTCTTGTATGATTGTTCTTCATTCCACATGAAAAAGATAATGTAATTGTCTGTTACTTAATGTAAGAAAGGTGTAAAATAAATATGGCTACTGTGAGAGAAAATACTACAGATTATTGCCAAAAAAGTAACAATTGCAATGAAATTAATACAATTTGCCTTCAAGTAGATGCAATTAGGATTTTATTTTGGCTGGCCAGTCACAATTATTTCTTGTGTTCTAATGGGCACTGGGACATTTTAATTCTTTCTGAACCATGCCATGTGGCAGAATTCCAGTTTTGCCACATGAGAAACATCTAACAAGGTCTTTACAGTCTTTCTCTTATTAGCTTTCTATTCAGCAGGCCAATGAGATAATACATCTGCGCTAACATGTTCTTTTGTGGCATTAATATTCAATATTCACAAGCATAAAAGCCTCTGTTGTAACCCCAGTGCAGCTGTTCATGGTACTTGTTTCTTAGTAAAGAGGTAGGAAAAGTTTGGCTGTAAAGAACTTCAGCTCACTGTCTTAGAGATGGTTAATAAAATCAGCCTTGAAAAGTTCTGTTTGCTGAAGGCAAAGAAATATTCCTCCCCCACCTTCTTCTGCAAAGAAGAATGAAACTTGTGGACAAGCACAATAGACCTCAAGAAGGGCTGTTGGAATATGCCAGGTCTGTAGTGCAGCCTTATGAAGAAGATCTGAAGATCACCTTACGGGGGGACAGCTGAACAACTTGTAGTTAGCATAGCTAGATTAGGGACTGCCCACAGTTTCAAATTATGTCCTTGCTGTCTCCTGTTTGGCTCTTCTGGAGGCTTCCTGCTCCTGCAGAGATTCCTTCTTGTTTGTTCTTCCTCCTTCAGCAGTTAGATTAGACAGTTTAAGGTTCTCTCTCTTCTATGTTATATAAGCTTTTCTCTTTTCTAATAAACCTACTTATTTTTCTCTAAACAGTCAGTGCTCCACTTCCTTTGCATATTTAAACACTGTCAACATAAATGAAGTAAATAAACAAATGTATGACATTATAGAAACAATGCCTTCATTCAGTTTTGACACTGCAGTAGGACAGAGCATGAGGCAGACTATAGGTTTGGCCCTAAATGTTCAGTGTTTTATAGATCAAAATCAACCGCTTCAGTTATACCAAAAGAGACAATGGAGCACATACAGATACTAAAGTACTAATGTACCCAGCACCCCAGTCCAATCAGGTTTAACATTTATATCATTATTGTTTGCTGGGATGATTTAATAGTGTAATTTTTCATAACTCAGGCCTTTCTCTACAAATGTAAAAATTATATAAAACAAATGCTATGGTGACATGTGGTTCAAGAAGCAGCCTGAAAATGCTCCTTTCTTTCAAGGCACTGCTTGGAAGTGTTATGCTGTGGATCCAAAGAGACTGATGACATGGTGCTAAGTCTGTCAATTTCCAGCTGAGGTAAATAAAGGACATTCATGTTGTCTCTATCATTACACTAAACAAAGGATTTCCCCATCTGGCAGTTCCATAGTTAATAGTCACAACCTTATTAACACTTTATTCTTTGGAGGGAGGAGGCTGTCAAAGTCAGTTTCTCGATCTAAGTTGCTTCTTCATTATAAAGCTCAGTTATCTGTAATGGTTTATTTTCTGCAAACCAAATTGAACATTACATCCAAATAGCAGTACTGAGTCTAATCTTCAACCATAAACCTACCTTGAGAATCCCGTTTGTAAGCAGGTTCTCTCTTATATCTAGATCAAGTTAACATTGTTGAGACTTGCAAGGCAGAGTTCTGAAAGATAAGGAACTTCAGGAATATGCTAGGACCTGAACTACATGATAAATTTCTCCACAAGTTGAGTTGGATTCCCCCAATTAGACTCACCTGTTCCACAGCCCCACTGCAGCTGTGGGGAACTTATTTCCTCAAGTGCCACAAGGCTCAATTTGGATCGGAACCACAGGACAGGAGAAGATGCTTCAGTCCCCCGTTCCCCCCCAAGCTATTCTCCAAACCCAAAATGGCCTCAGGGGGAGTTATTTGCTCACTGGATTGTAATGAGAGGCTTTACTCCTGCATCCAGTTAGAGAATCTAGACTAAACAATTTTAAAAGGGCTTTGCCTCTTCAAACTGTTTAGCTGCAGAATTCTCCAGTTCTATTAAAGGCTGTTTATTAACCTTTAAATCTGATAAGCAAGTAAGGTGTGCGTTCAGTTCTTTGAACTATGATCAGCAAACCAAACTGAAAACCTTTTTTAAATTGAAAAATGCAATAGTTCTCTTTATTATTTTAAGAGAGTAAGAAATACAGGCATATAAAATTAACCTTGCAATTACTGTAAAAATAAGTGCTAAAATTATCAAAATTTGTAATATTGCTTAATCGTGTTATAGTGAGTAATAATTTTAATCCAGGTTTCAATTTTTGTTTTACTGCTTTTGGAGTTTATCAGAAAGCCTAAGTCACACACACAATCTTCTTCTAATAATTTCATCCAGAGAAATCTGATTTGGTTATCACAGTAGTGCATGTTTATAGAAAAATATCAATCATCTTCCTATAAATCTCTTATATCTTTATCATGTGATTACTGTCTAGATAAATAATTAGTTCTTGTGAGATAATTGACACAAGTGCAAATGATCCAATCAGCAGCTGGTAAAGCGAGACTGAGAAGGCCAATCTCAACTCTTAACCTCTATTAAAAAGCAGTTAATCTAATTTTTCTATAACGGTTTCAACGGCCAAAAAGATTAGAGCCAGGGCGGCACCATAGGGGCCATTCTTATAACACGTAGGCTATTTTAACCCATTCTCATTTTAGGTATGTGATTTTAGGTTTTACTTCTTTATGTATTTCATCATACTATTTTACTGCTTTACTGATCCATTTGAATGTTTTGTAATTTTGTTATGGCCTATGGCTAGCACAATAAATCCTTTGAATTTGAATTATAACTGTTTCAATTAACTGTCAAAGATTAAATTCACTTGAAGCAAATACTTCACTGACAGTTGAAGAGTATGTGAACTCTTGGCTAACATGCAAAATCAGCAAGAAAAAAACCCGGTGAAGTAATCAAATACTGCTCAGAGTTAATAGCCCCTTTGGGCCATTTTGGATCTGGAAAACCATGTGAGAGGGAGAGGCTGAAGGTCCTTCTCCTCATGCCCTATGATCCTAATCCAAATTGGGCCCAGAGGAGCTTGGAGAAATAAGTTTCCCACAGCTGCCCTGTGGCTATGGGAGAGGCAAGTTGGATTGGGGGAAGCCCGAATTAACTCATGGAGAAATATATGATGTAATGCATGACAAGGATGGAGAATGATATACCAGCTTGGACAAAACTTCAGTTAGAAAGCAAAAAATTAGCTTGCTTGTGTACTTGCATTAGGTTAGAACATACAATTTGATTAAATGTAGCCTAATTTCAGCCTTGAAACAAATGAACTTGGTCTAACAGACTAAAATACCAACTAAGTATATTTGACGAGTTCTAAAACGCTGAGGCTTTAACACAGTGTCATATAGGGCTCTCTCGTGTAACTGACATTTTCCCTGATCTAGCTGGTATGGTTATCATTCTGAGAATAAAGAATAAATCATTCTTATTGCTTTATTAGTGCTTATAATGTGCTAGCTGGTATGGTTATCATTCTTATTGCTTTATTAGTGCTTATTTCATTTATCCTCACAATAATCACGTGGAGCTGGTTGTATAGTGATTTCCCTATGCCCAAGTACAGTGTTCTACCTGCAGGACTAAGTGCTTTCAATGGTATAAGTATTGTTTCCTTCTTAACAACCAGTATGAACTTTAGCATTTGCTCACGTACATATTGCTGTGTAGAGCAGATGTGGGGAGGAGTTCCTTACATCTCATCTTGACTGAAAGACATTCACAGAGCAATCTGAGAAGATCTACACCTTTTGAAGTCTTAGAAGGGTGTGACTCTGCTTATGATTGCACTTGCATGGTACCAAAACATATGGTGCAGCTTGACTTTAATGTTTGATGCTTCCTTGGAAACTAGTTGTTGCTGTTGTTGTTGTTTATCCTTTTACTTAAGTTCAAAGTTTCCTTGGAAACTATCTTAGTGCTGTTGTTTATCCTTTTACTTGTAGACAGTATTTTTTGCATGCATGTGTAAATTGGTAATCTCGTGTTTCTTGGGTTCCAGCTCTGGAATGGCCTATCAAGAAGTAGAAGTCCAACTAGATAATGATTCAATGATAGAAGGAATAAGTGACCAGGTACTGCTGGCAGTTGTGCTCGGCTTCACATTCCTTGTTGCACTGGCATATGTGCTTTTAAGGTGAGGTTGTTTTGGAATCTCTGGCAATATTTTTTGATGTGTCAAATACGCACTTCTTAAAAACTAAATTAAACAGCTGTGTGTTCTTCAGCAAACTGTTACTTGACTGCACATTCCAGAAGTGACATCCAGAATAGATATGTTTGAGAACCAATACGGTGGTGTGGGTAGACTGACACTGGGGAGATTTGGATCCAAATGTACAGTCACGTACCAAGTCCATTGACGGTGCGGTCCTCAGCAGAGTTGCACCTGCATAAGCCCTCTGTCTTCAGTGGATTGAGAAGGGCATGACTCTACTTAGGGTTATACTGTAAATGACATTCGGCAGAAATCTGTACACCATTCATGAAAACTGATCGCCTAAACAAGCCCTTAAAGTAGGCAGTTCAAAGAACTAACAAACATTATGCAGTTATTGTGTTTCCTTACACCTGTTCTTTGTTCCTCTAGGTGTTAAAATTCAAATTCAGGATAGCCCATCTCAGTAGCATTATTTATGTGGTCAGTGAGAAAAACCTCAGTATTTTACTGGGGATAAGTGTAGTAAGAGTAAGAGGGAAGTCTACAGGTGGCCAGAAGGCCTGACCTAGGATTTAAGGTGTCACCTGTTCTGGATAGGATTGCACTCCTCTTGAAGGAACACATCCATAGTCTGGGGTGGTCTTGGACCCAGACCTCCTGCTGGATAAGCAGTTGGCAGCTGTGTCCAGGAGTGCCTTTGACCAGCTTCGACTGGTTACCCAGCTGCAACCTTTCCTGGGCAGAAAAGATCTGACCCTATCACGCCAGTCCTGGCTTTGCTACACTGGCTTCCAGTTTGTTTCCAGGCACAATTCAAGGTGCTGGTCTTGACTTTCAAATCTCTATACAGTTTGGGAGTCCAATGTTCCCTCTAAGCTGGAGTCTTGTAAGCAAAAATGCTACTTTGTGAGCTACTGGCATTAAAGTGGTGAGCCAGCCATTTGGCTGCTGCATAAATTAGTTTGCTCTGGAGCCATCCTTCCTGAGCGAAGACAAAAACGTGTGAGCCGGAGGCTAAAAAACTGTGAGCTAGCTCACACTAACTCAACTTAGAGGGAACACTGTTTGGGGCCAGTGTACTGGAAGGACTGCCTAATCCCTTACGAACCCGCTTAACCATTATGGTCAACTTTGGAGGCCCTGCTGTGGATGCCCCGGCCTTCTGAGATCAGGCAGGTGGCAACCCAGGGAGAAGGGCCTTCTCAGTCGTGGCACCAAAGTTCTGGACCTCTCTCCCCAGGGAGATCCATCTGTTCCCATCTGTTGCTGTCTTCCACCAGCAGGTGAAGACTTTTTTTGTTTTGTTTGGCGTTCCCTCCGTGATCCCTCCTTCCCAATCAGTGTTTTGTACATATTTTAACTGGTTTTTAGTGTGTTTTACCTCCGTTTCTTAACTCTTGAAAATTTGTTTTAATGATGTGTGTTTGGGAGGGGTGTTGATTTTAATGGTTTTATAATGTAATTTTAACTTGTATGTTTTAAATGGTTAGCGGCCCTGGTGGTCCTTGTAAGGGCAGAAAGGCGGGATATAAATTTTGTGAATAAAATAAAACCAATGAACATGGAGAACAAATAATGGAATTGTTACTGTCGTTTTTACTCATCGCTTCTTAATTTAGCTGTGACCGCATCAAGAAAAACTTGGAAGTATTTATTCTTAAGGTCTACTATTTATTTATTTATTTATTTCCCCCAAAGTTTATTTATACTAAGAGGATTTATGAAAACACTTCCATTTGCTAGCTGCCTTTGGGGTGAAGATTTTCTCCGTCCCGTATGCCAAGTGACAAAGCACTGCATAAAACACTATAATCGCCCAGTTAATTGAAATGCTTTAGAACAGGGATGTGAAACATGCTGCCTGGGGGCCAGATCAGGCCCCCAGAGGGCTTCTATTAGGCCCGCAGTGGAACTGGCTGTCTTGTGCTTCTTCTTCCAGTTCTGCTGCTGCTGCGTCATCATAGGTTTGCAACTGACAGATACACACCTGAACAGCATACTCAGGATTGCAACAGCACAGACATTTTGATGCAATAATTCAGAGCAAGAGGTGTCAGTTATCAGAGACTGTTAAATAAACAAAATATTGCAAGAGTGCTAATGTTTTAAGTATGTT